AGCTCCCTCTTTACCACAACGGTCCGATACAGAGACCGCATCACTGCGCACGCTGCACCGATCCGCCTGTCAATCTCACGCTCCATCCTCCCCTCACTCGTGAACAAGACCCCGAGATACTTGAACTCCTCCACTTGAGGAAGGACCTCTCCACCCACCTGGAGAGGGCAAGGCACCTTTTTCCGGTCAAGCACCATGGCCTCGGATTTGGAGGTGCTGATTCTCACCCCAGCCGCTTCACACTCGGCTGCAAACCGTCCCAGTGCATGTTGCAGGTCCTGGTTCGTTGGAGCCAGCAGGACGACATCATCCGCAAAAAGTAGAGATGAAATCCTGTGGTTCCCGAACCGGACCCCCTCCGGCCCCTGGCTGCGCCTAGAGATTCTGTCCATAAATACAGTGAACAGAACCGGTGACAAAGGGCAGCCTTGGCGGAGGCCAACATGCACCGGGAACAGGTCTGACTTACTGCCAGCAATGCGAACACAGCTCTGGCTCCGGTCATACAGGGACCGAACAGCCCTCAGCAGAGGACCCCGGACCCCGTACTCCCGGAGGACCCCCCAAAGGACACCCCGGGGAACGCGGTCGAACGCCTTCTCCAAATCCACAAAGCACATGTGGACAGGTTGGGCGAACTCCCATGAACCCTCGAGTATCCGATGGAGAGTATAGAGCTGGTCCAGTGTTCCGCGACCGGGACGAAAACCACACTGCTCCTCCTGAATCCGAGATTCGACCATCGGACGAAGCCTCCTCTCCAGTACCTTGGAGTAGACCTTACCGGGGAGGCTGAGGAGTGTGATCCCACGATAATTGGAACACACCCTCCGGTCCCCCTTCTTGTAGAGAGGGACCACCACCCCGGTCTGCCACTCCATTGGCACCGCCCCCGATCGCCACGCGATGTTGCAGAGACGTGTCAGCCAAGACAGTCCTACAACATCCAGAGACTTTAGATAGTCAGGACGGATCTCATCCACTCCCGGCGCCTTGCCACCATGGAGGCTGCCAACCACCTTGGTGACCTCGGCCAGGGAGATGGAAGTATCCGCCCCAACATCCTCAGCCTCTGCCTCCTGGACGGGGGACGTGACGGGGGGATTGAGGAGAACCTCGAAGTATTCCTTCCACCGCCCGACAATATCCCCAGTCGAGGTCAGCAGCCCTCCACCCGCACCATACACGGTGTTGGCAAAGAACTGCTTCCCCCTCCTGAGGCGCCGGACGGTTTGCCAGAACCTCTTCGAGGCCGACCGATAGTCATGCTCCATGGACTCTCCGAACTCCTCCCAGTCCCGGGTTTTTGCCTCTGCAACAGCCCGGGCCGCGGCACGTTTGGCCTGCCGGTACTGGACAGCTGCCTCAGGAGTCCCACGAACCATCATTGCTCGATAGGACTCCTTCTTCAGCCTGACGGCATCCCTTACTGCCGGTGTCCACCACCGGGTTCGGGGATTGCCGCCGGGACCAGCACCAGAGACCTTGCGACCACAGCTACGAGCCGCCGCATTGGCGATAGAGGAAGAGAACATGGTCCACTCGGACTCGATGTCCCCCTCCTCTGCCGGGACCTGGGAGAAGCTCTCCCGGAGGTGTGAGTTGAAAGTCCGTCTGACAGGGGGCTCAGCGAGACGTTCCCAGCAAACCCCTCACTACACGCTTGGGCCTGCCAGGTCTGACCGGCCTCCTGCCCTGCCAGCGGATCCAACTCACGACCAGGTGATGATCGGTTGACAGCTCCGCCCCTCTCTTCACCCGAGTGTCCGAGACACGCGGTCGAAGGTCAGATGATACGACTACAAAGTCGATCATCGACCTCCGGCCTAGGGTGTCCTGGTGCCACGTGCACTGATGGACACCCTTGTGCTCGAACATGGTGTTCGTGATGGACAGGCCGTGACTGGCACAGAAGTCCAACAACTGAACACCGCTCGGGTTCAGATCAGGGGGGCCGCTCTTCCCGATCACCCCTCTCCAAGTGTCACTGGCATTTCCCACATGGGCGTTGAAGTCCCCCAGGAGAATAACGGAGTCCCCGGGCGGTGCACAGTCCAGTACCCCTCCCAAGGACTCCAAGAAGGCCGGGTACTCTGCACTACCGTTAGGCCCGTAGGCCGTCACAACAGTGAGAGACTTGTCCCCCACCCGGAGGCGGAGGGACGCGACCCTCTCATTCACCGGGGAGAACTCCAACACGTGGCGGCTGAGATGGGGGGCAATGAGTATGGCCACCCCAGCTCGCCGCCTCTCCCCGCGGGAAACACCAGAAAAGTGGAGCGTCCAACCCCTCTCAAGGAGTTGGGTTCCAGAGCCCAAGCTGTGTGTGGAGGTGAGGCCGACTATCTCTAGTCGGTATCGCTCAACCTCCCCCACAAGCTCGGGCTCCTTCCCCCCCAGTGAGGTGACGTTCCACGTCCCAAGAGCCAGATGTTGGGTGTGTGGACTGGGTCGTCGAGGTCTCCGCCTTCGACTGCTGCCCAGTCCTCTCTGCACCTCGCCACCATGGACCCCTCTGCAGGTGGTGAGCCCACAGGAGGGACTGCCCACGTCATCCCTTCGGGCTGAGCCCGGCCGGGCCCCGTGGGCTAAGGCCCGGCCACCAGGCGCTCGCTTGCGAGCCCCGACCCCAGGCCTGGCTCCAGGGTGGGGCCCCGGCTGCGCCATGCCGGGCGACGTCACGGTTTTTGTTGTCGTGCTGTCCATGGTTGGCTTCGGACTGCGCTTCGTCTGACTCGTCACTTGAGACCTGTCTGCCATGGGAGACCCTACCAGGGGCATGAAGCCCCAGACAGCATAGCTCCCAGGATCATCCGAGTGCTCAAACTCCCCCACCACGTTAAGGTGGCAGTCCAAGGGGGGAGCAAATTATTGTCAGACTGTTTTGGCCGTTATCTCGTTAAAACATTATCTAAGCTTTTATATCTTCAAATCTGAGGATACAGATCTGGTTTTGCTGTTTGTATTTGTTTCGAACCAGGAAGTTGTATATATCAGATATATACAGTATATATATATATATATCATATTCTCACTGGTTTGAACAGAAGCGAGCACATCACCCCTGTGTTCGTGTCCCTCCACTGGCTCCTGTGCGTTTGTCAAAATATATATAAGTCTATTTCATTTGTAAATAAGGAAAGTACCCAACGGAAGGTGTGGCTTATAATGCCCTGTTAACAAAACAACTACAACTAAATTAGTCAAATTATACACACACACACACACACACACACACACACATGATAGTGGCTCAGTTGGTAGCGCATTTTGCCTTTGAGCCTGAAGGTCGTGGGTTTGAATCCACCGCAAGACCTTCTCCACCGACTCCACCGCTGTCTGCTGTCGTTGAGTCCTTGGGCAAGACACTTTGCCTGTAAGGTGTGCAGAAGTAGTCTTCTCGTTCATACTGTATACTATATATACATACACATACAAATACAATATATACAAATTAATAATACTAATTATTTTGACTAAGATATTATTATTATCATTATTTTTTTAGGAATTACTCAAACTTGTGCCTGTCCCCTGAGGCCCCTGAGGCCCCTGAGCCCTGACAGCCCGTACATACATCTGACGTGGCTGTCTGAACTTTACAATGTGGCTTTGTTCCCAACATTCTGCGAGGCCTGTAAACTATTCTCCACTGTCTGTCTCCGTCCCACTCGGATCATGACCACACACTTTCAGAATGTGAGCCCCACGGAGACACACACATCTCTGGGTCATTCTGATGTTCCTTTAAAGGGGAGGGGCGTCCGTTAAAGAGGAGGGGCGTCCTTCAAAGGGGAGGGGCTTCCTTTAAAGGGGAGGGGCGTCATTGAAACTACAGACTTAGAGCTGGCACCACACGGACTCTTTGAATAAACTCTGCTCAGCCCTTTGGATAACTCCCTGAAGGATGCTTTAGCCGCGGTTGTGCTAGCGCAGAAGACAATGCTAACGGGAAGAATGAGAATATGCAGGAGTAGAAAGGAGATTAGAATCAGACTGGATTTATGTACGTGACTTTTTATACCAAGTAAACAGCTTTGTACTAAATACATAAATGTAGAGATTTGTAAGACATTTAACTATGACATAACAACAAGAGGGTGTTTTATAAGTTCCAGGGCTGCCACGCAGAAACTCAGAAGATTATTGTTCAAAAGCCATACCTGCAGATCCCTCAGACCTCTGAAGCTAAGCAGGACAGGGCCTGGTTACTACTGGGATGGGATAACCCTGTATTTAGCTTCACATACAACTCAAGGATTGTAATAATAACAATAATAATAATAATATTCATAATGATACTTGTTATTGATACGGTGCCTTCCTGAGCACAGGTCGTTTTGAAAGAGGTACAGCATCAAAAGCAGCTTTTTATAATCCTTGTATATATTCTTTTAAAATTTAGTTTTAATAAATTCATGTTTTGTGATTATTATGGTTTTAATGTCTCTTGTTTTTGAAGAGTCTTTCGACTATCCTGTGTGTGAATTTTGATAATAATAATTAGTCAACACATTCCAAATAGAGACGTTATTATTTTTTATAGAGTATAGGTTTCATTCAGAAGCTTCTGGATTCGAATCCCAGTCAGAGCGGGGCCTGTCTGAGTGCGGTTTGCATGTTCTTCCCATGTCTTTGTGAGTTTCCTCCGGGAGCTATGGTTTCAAATATGTATAATCTGTATAATTCCCCAGCTTCAGAGTGGATTTAAAGTATGTGTCAAATGCAAAGGACACATTTTCCCACAAGGACAATAAAGAATCACAGAAAAATATAAATAATTAATCCCAAGCATCGATAAATTTCCTGTTTTACATTTTAAAGTGCTTAAGTGTTTTTATGGAAACTACATCTTGGTGACGGTTGAAAACGTATATGTGGCGGTGGTGAAGGCGGCGGTGACGATGACGAGTGGATGTGTGGAGAGCTCTGTTCAAAACACTTCAAAGCTTAAACTGGAAACAAATAATGTCCTGATGAATGAGTGCTACAAAGTGACTTCACCACAAACGCCTGGAGGCACAAGCACATTTGTTTAGAGGAGGCGTGTGTCGAGAGCAGTGGGTGAGGGAGGGAGGGGCTGAGGGAGGGAGGGGCTGAGGGAGAGGTGGGTGAGGGAGGGAGGGGCTGAGGGAGGGAGGGGGCTGAGGGAGGGAGGGGCTGAGGGAGAGGTGGGTGAGGGAGGGAGGGGCTGAGGGAGGGAGGGGCTGAGGGAGAGGTGGCTGAGGGAGGGAGGGGCTGAGGGAGGGAGGGGCTGAGGGAGAGGTGGGTGAGGGAGGGAGGGGCTGAGGGAGGGAGGGGCTGAGGGAGAGGTGGCTGAGGGAGGGAGGGGCTGAGGGAGGGAGGGGCTGAGGGAGGGAGGGGGCTGAGGGAGAGGTGGGTGAGGGAGGGGGGGGCTGAGGGAGAGGTGGGTGAGGGAGGGTGGGGCTGAGGGAGAGGTGGGTGAGGGAGAGGTGGCTGAGGGAGGGAGGGGCTGGGGGTGAGGAGGTGGGTGAGGAGAGGTGGGTGAGAGGTGGGTGAGGGAGGGTGGGGCTGAGGGAGAGGTGGGTGAGGGAAAGGTGAGACGGACATGCTCCGTTAGTAGCAAAGGAGATTGCTAACGTTAGGTTAAATGCTAAAGCTAGGCTAAATGCTAAAGCTATGCTAAATGCCTCACTCACTCGGGCTCATTACATACGTCACAGTAAACTCAGATCCAATGGTTTCAATCTGCAAAAGGAGTTAACCCCTCCCACCTGTTAACGGAGTCAATGGAGACAATCCAGAACTTAGTACAAATGAAATGAGTACAATGGTGTGGTAAGACCAGGTAAGACCAGGCTAATATTGTTCCCTAACCCTATCCAGTCATATGTTCAGAATTCTGCTCAACAACAAGCTTCAGGAAGTCATTTCTGTTGCTTTAACATCTCTGAATGTGGATTATTGAAAGTAAAACCAGCCGTCACGTTTCATAATCCAGGCCTTTTATTCAGAGCTCATAGAAAAAGAAATATTGGCTTTTGCAACGAGCGTGAACAACATTCTCTGTGTGTGAAAGTGCTGTTTGGATGGTTCGTTGTCTGCCGCCGCACAACCTTGTCTCAAAGTCGTCCATTTGCTTCGGCTCAGATCCATCATAATCTCATTTCCGGCCCCAATGTCATTTAACAATGTTTAGGTCATGTACCATTTGGGAAAGGACTAAATCCAATTCCATTTGAACTTCACTCCGATGAAGGAGCGCTCCCATCGACATCACAATCCAACGTTATTCCCTGAATTGTTTTCTTTTATTTATTTAGAGAGAGACCACATGGTATTGGTCTCTCTCTATGGGCCAATACCATGTGGTCTCTCTCTATGGACCAATACCATATGGTCTCTCCCTATCTTCCAATACCATGTGGTCTCTCTCTCTATGGTCCAATACCATGTGGTCTCTCTCTATGGTCCAATACCATGTGGTCTCTCTCTCTATGGTCCAATACCATGTGGTCTCTCTCTCTATGGTCCAATACCATGTGGTCTCTCTCTATGGTCCAATACCATGTGGTCTCTCTCTATGGTCCATTACCATGTGGTCTCTCTCTCTATGGTCCAATACCATGTGGTCTCTCTCTCTATGGTCCAATACCATGTGGTCTCTCTCTATGGTCCAATACCATGTGGTCTCTCCCTATGGTCCAATACCATGTGGTCTCTCTCTATGGACCAATACCATGTGGTCTCTCTCTATGGTCCAATACCATGTGGTCTCTCCCTATGGTCCAATACCATGTGGTCTCTCCCTATGGTCCAATACCATGAGGTCTCTCCCTATGCTCCAATACCATGTGGTCTCTCCCTATGCTCCAATACCATGTGGTCTCTCCCTATGGTCCAATACCATGTGGTCTCTCCCTATGCTCCAATACCATGTGGTCTCTACCTATGGACCAATACCATGTGGTCTCTCTCTATGCTCCAATACCATGTGGTCTCTACCTATGGACCAATACCATGTGGTCTCTCTCTATGGACCAATACCATGTGGTCTCTACCTATGGACCAATACCATGTGGTCTCTCTCTATCAATCAATCAATCAAATTTTATTTATAAAGCGCTTTTCAAAAAGTGTAACACAAAGTGCTTTACAGTTTAGTTAAAAACAATCCCACATGCCCAGCCCTAAACCCTCCTCCCCACAGACCCCCCAAAACCACATTTATAATTATATATACAATACACACACACACACACACACACACACACACACACACACACACACACACACACATGACAAGTATAAAGTCATATCAGGTAAAATAGGTAAAACAATAAAAAGAAATGGGGCTGGGAGCAGATGTAACCGGCTGAAGAAGCGCCATCCAAGGAGCCATCTGCACCAGGAGCAGAGAGCCGGCTGCAGCCACAGGCAACGACACAGGACCCAGAGGAGAGAGGGGCCCCAGACCCCACCAGGCCCAGGACTCAGACCCCATAGGATCCAGAGGAGAGAGGAGGCCCCAGACCCCCACCGGATCCAAGAGCCAGTCCCCCGAAGCCACAGCAGACCCCAGCTCTCAGTGCAGAGGGCTCCTCCAGAGGAAACACTGGGGACACTAAAACAATACAATAATACAATAGAAAGTAGAACAATAGAATGTGAAAATAAAAAGAAAAATGGCAGCTGCCTAATATAATAACAATAGTAAATGGGTAGATACAATAAATAATTAAAAATAGTAAATAATAAAAATAAATAAAAATATAATCCGTCTAAAAACATAAATAGATGTACTAAAAAGCAATAATAGATAATAAATACTAATCAAAAGCTGCTCTAAAAAGGTGCGTTTGGCTTACAGAGCCTACTCTTAAGAGCCTACTCTTAAAAATATGAACGTTCTCTGCGGCCCTGAGCTCCTCCGGCAGACTGTTCCAGAGACGGGGGCCGTAGTGCTGGAAAGATGCCTCGCCGTGAGTGTGTGTCCTGACTTTGGGGATGGTTAGGAGTCTGCTGCCGGAGGAGCGCAGGGGCCGGGAAGGCTCATAGGATAAAAGCAAATCTGAAAGATAAGAAGGCCCAAGACCATTAAGACATTTAAAAACCATTAAAAAAACCTTAAAATCGATCCTGAAACACACGGGGAGCCAATGCAGCGATTTTAAAACCGGTGTAATGTGGTCCCGCCCCCTGGTCTTAGTCAGGACACGTGCGGCCGAGTTTTGAAGTAATTGTAAACCTGAAATGTTCTTTTTGGGAAGACCAGAGAGCAGGGCATTACAGTAGTCAATGCGACTGGTGATAAAAGCATGCATCAGCGTCTCCGTGTTGGCCCGAGAGAGAATGGGGCGGACTCTGGCGATGTTCTTTAAATGATAAAAACCTATTTTTGTGATGTTCTTGATGTGAGGACTAAAAGTCAGCTCAGAGTCAAAGATTACGCCCAGATTTTTCACTTGTGATGATGGATTAAAAGAGTGTGATTGGAGTTTCGGTAAAAGTTTCTCTCTCTGGGCCTCAGGGCCGATGACTAAAACCTCAGTTTTGTCCTGGTTGAGCTGGAGAAAGTTTTCTGCCATCCAGGATTTCAGGTCTAAAATGCAGTTAAAAAGAGCATCCATTGGCCTGGTGTCGTCAGGAGACATGGAGATGTACAGCTGTGTATCATCTGCATAACTGTGGAAGTCAATTCCATGTCTCCTGATGACACCGCCAAGAGGGAGCATGTACAGGTTAAAAAGGACTGGACCTAAAATGGAACCCTGGGGCACACCACATGTGATTCTATGGACCTGAGAGGAGCAGGTATCCAAACTTACCATGAAGGATCTGTCTGTTAAATAAGAAGTGAACCATTTGTGGACAGCACCAGAGAGGCCGAGGTGTTGTAGGCGTGATAAAAGAATGGTGTGGTCTACTGTGTCGAAGGCAGCGCTAAGATCCAGTAGAACCAACACGGTCACCTTTTTAGAATCATAATTTAGTCTAAAATCATTTAAAATCTTTAAAAGAGCAGTCTCTGTGCTGTGGTTCACCCTAAATCCTGATTGAAATTTCTCTAAAATTTGCTGCTGATCTAAAAAGGCATTGAGCTGGGTAAAAACAAGTTTTTCTAAAATTTTGCTTAAAAATGGTAAGTTGGATACCGGTCTGTAGTTGTTAAAATCATTAAAATCCAAATTGCTCTTCTTCAGAAGGGGCCTCACCACAGCCGCTTTGAAGGCTGCAGGAAAGACCCCAGTCTGAAGAGAGCAATTCATCAGGTTTAAAAGCTCCTCTCTAAAAGATTCATAAAATGACTTAAAAAATGGAGTGGGGACTGGATCTAAAAGACATGTGGTGGGCCTCACTGAGGAGAAAACTTTATCAAGCATCTCAGCATCAACCAGGACAAAACTGTCCAGTGTTTCCTCTGGTGAAGACAAACAATCAGATGTGTTAAAAACAGTTGTGCGGTTGGATAAAATGTTACATCTGATTGTATCTATCTTCCCCATGAAGTGGACTGCAAAATCCTCACAGAGGGAGTCTGTGGGGGTTAAACGAGACATGCTAAAATCAGGGTTTAAAATGGTGTCGATGGTCCCTATGGTCCAATACCATGTGGTCTCTCCCTATGGACCAATACCATGTGGTCTCTCCCTATGGACCAATACCATGTGGTCTCTCCCTATTGTCCAATACCATGTGGTCTCTCCCTATGGACCAATACCATGTGGTCTCTCCCTATTGTCCAATACCATGTGGTCTCTCCCTATGGTCCAATACCATGTGGTCTCTCTCTATGGACCAATACCATGTGGTCTCTCCCTATGGTCCAATACCATGTGGTCTATAATCTTTGTACTTGAAATGTTTGATTCTCTAATCTGTTGTTGTTTTGTGAAGTCCTCTGAGAAAACTAATGTTGTGATTTAGGGCGATACAAGAATCAAGATTAAGATTAAGAGATAATTTATTTGTCCCACAGTGGGGCAAGTTTACATTGAATTGAATGAATTATGTTTTAAAATCAGATGAGGACAGAATATTGTGGTTTAATTTGGTCTCAAAATATGACTTTAATAAAACTCTGTTGAGACAAACATGATATTTGTGAAAGTTAGGTTCCCCAGCTTTATCTGCGGTGGTTATTTGATCCATATGTTTGTTTTCACCCAGAGTCGTTCCCGCTCCGGCCGATCCCGGCTGCAGCCCATAAAAGAACTCAGTGTTTTGGTGTGAAATCTCTGGCCGTGTTTTTCAGATGTATGTCATAAAATAAGACGATAAACTTCAGCAAACCGATCGTTCAGCGTTCCCTTGTTGATTTGTTACGGCTGTCTCGCGCTTTCCCCGCCACAAACAACGGCTGGCGTGTTAGTGCCGCCGCTCCGTCCCGGCGATCGTCAGGAATGCTTCAGTGCGTGTTTTCCTCTGGAGACCACTCTGACATCCCCACTCTGACTTCCCGACTCTGCTTAGCGACGGAAAGATCCACTGAATATTCAAAAGACACGGCCTCCGACTGCCTCCTTCATCTGCTGTTTCCATCTTTCTTATTGTACATCAGGGGTGTCCAAACTTTTTAGTAAGAGGCCTCTATAGTTCACCCTAACCCTGACATCAGGCTGTTCTGAGCTTTATGATGATCTATAGGAGCTGAAGTTGGCTGAATGACACGTTTACCATCACCAGCTACAGTAGCATCATTAAAAATCATTCCAGGCTTTAGCACGAGGTCTATATGGGCTGAGCTGAAGTTGGATGGATGACACAGTGAACTTGTGTTTATGATCTCAAAGACGTATGTGGGTTAGTGAGGCAGAGGGCCACAGAAATTCACAGTTGGCCCCCGGGCCTGAGTAATGAGCCAATCTTTGGCCCATTAGTTAGAACGACGGAGATAGGCGTGACTAGGTCTGTTATATTTACAGTCTACGATTCTGACACATGGAGTCCCAGTCCAGAAACATTCTTATTTAATCACTTAAGCAGCCGTCAAAATAAGACCATCGAGCTGGGTTTAATTAAATACATCTAACTGCTAATTTCCACAGGAGGCGTTACAGCACGTACATGTTGTACGCGCAGCAGACGCACCTAACATCAGTCCTCTGTACTGTCCTCTACACTTAGACTACACTA